ATAGAAATAGAAATTTAAAACCATATTTAAGACTGATTTGGAACGATCGCATGTATTATAGTTTGATTTTCAATGGAAGCGAAGGATGCGTTTCGATGGAAAGTTACAATTAAAATTGGTTCTTAAGCGTTGGCCAACTGGTTAACGGGTAACTGTAATTGGGGATTACCGAACAGACTTCGAAAAAGAACAGGTGATGTTTAATTGGCACTTCTGCTTGATAATGGGTTAGTTCGAACGGTCTGCGATATAACAAGATGTCGATGTCAGTAGTAAAATCAAGCTTCTGTTCAATTTGAAAGATAGTTGCTACGTACCTGCAACTAACTATAATTTGTAATTTTATTAATAGCGATGGATTAATTTATTTCGTATGTTAAACAGCGAACGATATCAAAGGCACGCGTTTATGAACAATAGTACGCTGAGTTAACGAAAATTGTTGAAACGTGACAAGTCAGTCTATTTCGATTAAATTCCTTTCCATAGTTTATGGTTTAAAAACTTATTTTTTGTACTTTGCAGCGTTATAAATATCGAATATTATAAATATTCCAGAAAATTTGTATTTCAAATAATAATTACAAACTAAATTCGATATAAAAACTCATAAAGCCACGGTACATTCCTCAAATTTCACCCTTACATCGTCCTGCAGTTCGCGATTCGTTTCAACGTAACAGCCTATAAACTCAAAAAGCTTCAACAGACTCAAAACGTGTTTTAGCACAAAATTAATGTTATCTGTCGATGCACTTCAAACCGGAACCCGATTTCCTCCGAAGAGACTCGACAGAATCGAGACGAACGACGTTCAAAATCGAAGAAAAATCTGCGGAAGCACCCTTATCTCCGAGTTCCGCGATAAAATGACCCGTTAGCGACTTCCGGCGGAAGTGAAACCGTGTAAGGAGCTGGATAAACGGCGATGCTGCGACTGAAGCATAACGGAAAAGCAGACGGGGGTAGAAGGAGCGCGTACCAGAGGAGAGAGACCAAGTTGAAAAGAGACGATCGTTGGAGATGAAAAAGGAAGAGTGGTGTCGCGACCTTGGGCTCGAGTTCCGCATTGCTGAAGCGCAACAGATCTCGCGTATCCAGTCGTTGAACGTGTCAGTTCTCAGTTGGCAACGCGACCGGTTGCTTCAACATTTCTCCTTTAGAAACTGGAAACAGCTAGTTTGAAAAACCAAGAAAATTTTCTACTTCGTATTTCTCTTCGCTCGTATTTCATTTCCTCTCTGTCTCTTGGTTTATTTTCTCTTTTTCATTTTCTTTCCTCTCTTAATCAAGTAAAATCCAATGAAATAGAATTTTTTCGCGGATGGAACGATCAGAAAAGAACGTTGGAAAAGTGTCGTGAAGCTGGGAGAAGATAGTTTGAAAGACAAAGTTTCGTTCGTTTCTCTCCCTGTTTTTTCTTCCTTCGCTATTTCTTGGTCGAGAAAAAATAGCAGGGTCTTCTTTCCGATCGATATCGTTTAAAAAAGCATGTCGGAAAGACGTTGCCATAACGAGCTACTTCAAAAGACGAAGAAAATTTTGTAGTTCGCGTCTTTGTTCTATTCCCACTGTTTCGTTTATGGTCTTCGATGTCCCATGTTTCGAACGAAGTAAAGTGGAAGCATAGGTGAAGAACATATAGTGAATTCTTTGTGGTTGGAAGAGCACGTTGAAAAAGTGTCGCGAAGCTAGAGCCACGGTCCCAGATTGTTGGTTGCTAATTGTCTAGGGCAGAATAATTGTCTCGCTTCTGGAAAATCACCGGCTTTGTTCTGCCGTCCGTTAGAGAAACGACCCATAACGAGCGAGGAGAAAGAGCAAAAGCCGCGACGCGATTCAAATGAATTACGATACGGAAGAACTTTGAATAGAATTGCGTCCGTGCCACGATTGTTTGAACGTTCGTTGGATTAATCGTCTTCTTTTTAATACCAGGACTATCAAACCTATTAAAATGCGTTTCAGATCCTTTACTTTAACAAACTAGTAACTTTTGCATGACTTTCGTCTATTCGTTTATATTCGAAGCAATTTATTTTATTACATACGTATTTTTCACAATTGCAAAGGCTAAAAATCGAAAATCTATCATCCTGACAAACTTGCCGATTCTAGCGTTGAAAGATTGTCCACTGAACGCGACGAAGAATGTGTAGGAATACGATCTATCTGGCCAAAGACTTTTGCAGGTTATCATACAGCTAATTCTTTTCTCCGAGTAATTCGATTTAGGAACTGTTTCGTCACTGCCGGATAATTTGTCTCTGAAATATCCTGTATGGACGTTCACTTTTAGTAAGAGCACATTGTATCAACTTTCGAGCGGAGGCTGAGAATATCTTTCCCCTTGCAACCATGTAACGCAATCACGTGTAACGGTATCCACCTCAAAACGTGTCGAGACTTTCGCAACCGATCAGCAAGATATAATAGAAGTTCACCCGTGGTATAGACAGCCGAGTTATCGAATCTCACGCGAAACTGTCCTTCCTTTTCAACGATTGTTTTCGTGTTCAGCGTCCGATTTTTCAAGTGTATAAGACGTTCTGCAACTGTTATTAGCATTCAGTGTCTTCGTAAAAGTAGCCGGAGTTAGAAGGTTGAAGTTATTTTCTTTTTTGTTTTCTGTCGAAGAAAAGTATCGTAGAAAGTACCTGTAAGAATCTTCGCTTCGACTTTCCTATTGCTTTGTCTTAATATTCATGAGGAAAGGTAACAGCTATCGTTAGAAACTTTTATCGTGATCGGAGGAAATAGACGGTATCGTGAGAGTGTAGAAATTTCAGGAAATTTGACAAAGAAATCCGACCCTTTTCTGCAACGTACGATAACAATCGCCGAAACTTAAATAAGATACAGGATAGTTCAACAAAAATAAAAGATAGCACAAAACATCGTTGATTGGAAGATAAAGAGTCGGCAAAAATCTTCAAACCTCCTTAGAACAAATAAAAACAATCGACCACAAAAACTCAACATTTGGGTCTAAAAGACTAACGATCGATCCCATAAACCCAACAATCTTGCGTCTAAAGTCTTCTCCCATAAAACCTAAAACTCATCATCACCTCGACTCGGTCATAAACCATTATGCGTAACAGAATCTGCAAACGAAACAAAATAAAAGAAAGGGAAGCCGGGCAGTGACCGGAAGGCGGAGCTAAGCTATGCAACGCTATGCACAAAGTTTCAAAATATTTGTTTCGATAGTCGTGTTTCGATCGGCTTAGCTTAGCTTTCGGTGGAAACAGTTCCTTGCGCCGTGCCGCTTATTTGCCCAATCGATTAATTTCATAAAACGAAGAGCATAGAATGTCGACGAAATTATTGGGTTCTCTCCAAGATTGTTTTTTCGCTTTGTTAACAAGCTATGGATGAGCGATATTTTACGTTTTACGTCATGTACAACATCTGGTCAATTTCTCCATGTCTCGGAAAGTCGTACAGTGGCGTTTTGCAAAACTTCTGCGGTTTGTTGGCAAGATGTCAAAAATTGAAGCGAATCCTTTACTTACGTTACGTGCGACTTGCGGAGAGACGGAGAAAGCTAATAGACCAGGATGTATCGTAGATCCTAACGCGACATAAAACATAAAACATCGCGCCTATTATTATTTCGATATTCACCGATAAAGCGATATTTTTTTAGACGACATAGTGCCTGAGACAAGCTCGAATCGAGCGCTTCGACACGCTCAAAAATGTCAAAAGACGAAGTCAAAGTAAACACTTTGCCGTGCGAACAACCAAATATTCTTAAATTACGGCGTAGCACTGCTCGGCTTAGCTTCTTCGATGGTTCTCCGGTAAAAGAGGGAAAAAAGTGCGGAACCTTGCGCGTTGACCTTGACTGTTGTCGAGTTCCGCATTGCTGGAGCGCGAAGGGCCTCAAGGGAAGGGCCACTTGTAAGATCGTTGGCCTGGTGGGAAGAAGGGCGAAGAAGAGAGACTGTACCCGTGGCTGGCAGCTTCGGCCTTCAACTTGACCGGCCCGACTAGCGCCCTTCTCTTTGGTCGAGGCAAGCGTGACCGCTTCGGGATACGAGCACGTACAATTTTAGATGCGGGGTCCTTGACACCTTCGGCAATGAGACAACTGGCAGCCATTGACAGCCTCGAACGTCGCTCCCCCCGTCCATTGATTCGCACCGCGAGTCCTCCGTTGGTTTGGCTTGGCCGCGTATGTGCCTGGCAACCAGCGAGCGTACAAGAGAGACGAGCAACCTTTCCAGCGATCGGAGACTTCCAAGACGGATCGAGACTCTAACCTGTTAACCGGGTTATGCCTTAACGCATTGTCGACAGGTCACCAGTGAACTCGTGTATTTATGCACAAAGTTCAGTTGTTAGCTTTTGCGTAAGGTAGTCAGTCGACGACGCGTTAACGCGTTAATTTTACGCGAATTTTATGTATTTTCCCTTCGCGCCGCAACGAATCGAAGTATGCGTATATCGAGATATAATCGAAGAGGATTTTTTATTAATTATCCTCTTAAAAGCAAACCATCCGTTTCCAGTATTGATCGTTACAGTCGCTCGAGGAGCCCGAGCCATGAATTACGCCTAATAATTTTCTTTAAAATCTAAACGGAAACAGTCTTTTCATCGATCCTCGTAAATTCGAACCGGTTTTCCAAATTTCAAAGATTACAGTCGCGTTGAAAAATATTTCGGAAATCAACTCGATTCGTTGACTAGCGCGCCAGTTTTATACGTTTTATCTTGCGAAGACATTATGCAATACCTGCGCGCTTCTTTCTGACAATGTTACCTAAGTCAGTCGTATTGTTAGCTAATTGCTCGGTCTATTAGGTACAAAAATGTGCACAGTACACGTAACACGCAAAGCTATGATAACGTGTTGAAAACGTAGTTGCGTTGTGGTTATTTAACAGGCAACACGAATTTCTGCCTAGCCTTCGTTTTGTCAATTATATTCATAGAGATACGAATTTGCGTAAATTCGAACTTGTGACATAGCGATGTTTTGCTTGCAGGGCCTCGGCCAGGATGTTCTCATGGGAGCCAAAGAGGAAGAATGGGGCAACGCGTTAAACGTGCGAGATAAATCCTCGCTGGGAGTTGTGTTAAGGGATCGTTTGATGACGGATGCCGCCCTCGGAGGTCCACGACCGATCAAGTCCGAGCACAATTATAGTTTGTTGGCGTCGAGTCCTCCTCCAAGCCCCGCGACACCCGGTGCCAACCCCCATACACCTAATTCCGGATCGTCCGCCGATAGGGTTGGCGCTTCTCTTTCCACCACTAGTTCCTCCATCGATTCTACTAATCTGGATCATCATAAATCGTTGGACATTCGAAGCAGAATCGATGGTAAGAGCACACGAAAACTTGGACTATAGTTGTAATCTCTTTTGGGAAATTTTTTATAGGTCAACAGGAAGCCCTGTTAACGTTACAAAATCTTTAATAGCACCAATAGCAGTTATAAGTTATGCGAATCCAGTTGGAAAGAATTCATTTCCTCATCCAGTAATTACGATATCTTTATTCAATGTTTAAGATAGTTAATCTTCGAATATTTACATCTTATTATTTTATCAATCTTATTTTTTATTGCCACATAGATGCAGAAAATAGGATATCCAACACTGCTGATAAAAACGAGCTTCCGCTAGACAAGGGATAATAAATCGATTTCATAAAACGATTAATTGGATTTCCAAGTAGTTGATCGTTTATTGTTTAATGAAAAGATTTCATCGAACAAATTCATTATTTGGGATAATTACGTAAGGTGATGTAGAAAAATCGATTTTTCGTAAATATTTTCGAAATGCGAATATCTCGTTGATGATACCGAAAAATATATTAGATAAGAGTCGAATGGTTTCTTGCAAGATATCGTTCGATGTGATTGTTTCACTTTTCGTGAGTGAGGAGAGATACGAAGGCCAGATTTTTGCTTTGTTCGGTAAAACATATATTTTTATATTAGTCGAGATTTATCGAGTAAATTTACTAATGAATTCTTTGATCTATATACTACATACTTTGTGATTTTATCTTATTCACCGATAGTTAGTTTCTTAGCATATTGTCATAGATGGTTCTTAATCGTGTCTTCTTAATGTTTTATCAGTGAATCCAATAATATGCTCGTGACTGCAAATAATCTTAGATAATCGTAATAGCATATAAGAGTGTATCCTACAGTAGATCCTGATATCATTATCGGTAAATCTTAAGACCTCTAACCATATCGGCAGAGAGTATTATGTAATACAATTCGTAATCTTAGCAAAATCAGGAAACTTTAGTAACTGTATTAAATCCAAGAAATCTTACTTCTACCAGCGTCAATTGCAACAAATTTTAATATCGTTGTTATCGTTAAAAAATTACGAGAATCTAATTGTAAGCCACAAAAGACTCCTAATATCACCAACAGCAAAATTTTGATATTATAATTCTTAACTCGATAAAGCGCTGGTGCTAATAATACTAATACCAATAATGATAACAGTACTGATATTAATTCCACTAATATCCCCAAGAATCTTCACGAACACACTTGTCAGTTAGAAAAAATTGTCTCATCTGTCACACACATTATCATAAGAAAAGCTAGACAGAGCCACTGCTACATCCGTATGTAGTAAACAACTGCAAATTCTATTATTGTCTCCACTACTGTCAACTTTAATTTTTAACAAAATCTTAATACTATTTACAGCTTCGTTGCTATTTCCAACTGTGTACCTTTCTTTACCAACGTAGTCGTTGGACGTATCCAATGCGGTTTTACATCTACAAATTTCTCATAAACGCATACAGACTCGCAGCATAGTAATCCCTATAATATTCCATAAACAAGACACATTTCTGCTAAGGGTCGATCTCTCTGGTTGTGTTCATAAAAATGCAAATTCGCAGAAACACGCGCGATCAAGAAGTGCGTGCTATAAAAAGATCTAATGTCGTCATTAGCAGATCCAACAAATATTAAGGTTGTAGCGTAACTACTATACGCTATCCATTCTCAGTACCAGGATTCTCAACAACGCAAAGTCCTAACGTTACAATTTACGATCCTACTAATACTTGCACCTCCATTCACCGGCACATCTATCAGTCGCGAGAAACCTCCTCACCTTCCCACATTCGACTTTTAAGAACCTCTTCCTCGACATCATTACGGTGCATCGCGAATGACGGGGTAACGCTAATGCACGATACACTTGAAATACACTTGAAAGCTATAGCAGAATCTCCGATAGAGGAGGATATAACGTTACAGGTGTAACAGGAGTCTGATAATGCTGCTAATTTCAGGGAACCCCGTACTATTGGCAATATCCTGCCGTCATCAACGTGTCTCGTCAGTTTCGTTTATGCAGCCTGTGTGCGTCGTTGATCCATTAACTCCTCGAGACGACACAGTTCGTATTATCGTATTGTTCAGTGGTGTATCAGTAACGTGTAATGACTGGATCTGATAGCGGTTGTCGCGATCCGTTTGCTCGTCGTGATTTCATTGTACACATTTGCACACGTAATTTCGAACCTTGGCGTTGCCTGTTCAGTTTCTTATAATGCAATGGCGGATAGAAAAATATTTAGAACTGATACATAGTACCTATATACTTGGGTATTTGTGTACAGAAGAATACGTATGGAATAGCGTGCGAACATACGAAGATGGAGAGAATTTAGGTTCAAAGTTGTCGGAAACGATCGTCTTATGCGAATAAAGTGCGAAGTAAAGCGAAGAACGGATGATATTTTTGTTTTTGCAGATATGGAAGAGGAGTGTTTCCCGGCGATCTCAATGAATACCGCGTCGGGACGCGACGAGCTGCCTTCGTCGTCGTCCACGTCGTCTACCTCAACGATTATCCTAAAGAGAAGAAACAATGTAGTACCTGAAGACGTGGAGTGTACAGAGATCAAAGGTGAACCGATCAGCGCGCCTAGCAGTCCTTCCGAGTCTTGTCAAACGTCTATAACCGACGACAAAAACACGATAACCATGGTGTTTCCTCAGAGTCTCCATTTTTCGAAGAACCACATGTCGCAGACCAGCGATAGCGAGGAGGATGACGAGGAATATTATCAGGTACTTCCATATTTTCTCTATTTAGAATTCTTACAGATAGAATTCTGTTCGTGAAAGTGCGCAAGGGAATGTGTCAAATGTTCAAGGAATTCGTCGATTCTACGTATCCCCTTTTACATGTTGCTAAATGAGAGGCGGATAAAGTTTTGTAAAAGCAAAGATCGAAGCGTACGATTATTAAAAATTGAGATACACGTTCGTCTTAACAATATATAATACGACGATTATTCAAACGATGAAGGAACTTTCAAGCGCGAATGTTCGTGTCTTGTAGTTATTCGTAAACGTATGCGAACACTTGTTCCAACAGATAACGTCAAATATCGAAACGTAGCTAATTATTAGAGTGGAACGATGTTAGTATAGATGTAACGACACGTGTTAGGTATTCCGTAATTTAACATGTGTAATTGTTACAGCAGAATGACTTTCACATGAATACTTTTCGCTTAATTCTGTTTGAACGAACTTCTATCGTTTTTATTCGAAGCAAGTTTTTGTAAATATTCTATCTCTTTACGTCTCAATGGAGTATTTAAAATTCGAGAATTTCCCTTTTTACACTTTAGTGCATCTAAATGCAAATAAAATGCAAAAAGAAACGTAACATTTAGTAGATTTTCACGATAATTTCTCGCTCTTTCTTGACACGCCATATTCTTCGTTTTCCTATGGAATTACGATTTTAATCGATAGAATTTCAATTTAAAAAGAAACAGAAGAGCGAATATTCGACTATTCCAAGAAACAAAATTTCGTCGACGCTCGATACTCTTACTCGCTGATCTCAAATTACGAATATCTTTTCCTGATGCATCTAAGAATTATAAAGATGCTAATAGAAAACAAACTTTGTGTGTCACAGGGTATGGAGGTAGAAGAGTACAACGGGGAGGCGAACGATGAGAAACAGGCGGATCTACGCGCGTCCAGGCAGGGCCTACCGCCAACGCCGCCGAGCAGCGCCAGCTCCGACAGCGAGGGCACCGCTTCCGCTTCCTGTTCGCCGGAACGCCGAGATTCCCAGAGCTCCGCGCACGCACAGAATCTCAGAGGCCTGCTCACGCCCAGACTTTACATCACAAACGGCACGCACACCACCAGACAGCCGATACACACACCCTTGATTTCCTGTCAACCGGTGAGCCAAACTGGAATCTTTTTTAATTAACGCCACTTTTTTTTCAGACGCATATGTAAAATAAGCGACTTCGAGTTATAAGATAGTCGACAATCTTGAAGTAAATTTATAATGTAATTACGAAATGTTTTTATGTTATAAGCGAGCCTATGTCACGAGCGGTAGTAACGATTTTTTCTTTTTTTATTGCAGATTTTTCAATGTCGCTGTATAAATACTCGATAAATTTTCAATTCTCAGAAAAAGTATGCATTTTCATAGCGCATTTGCGTATGCATTTTATTTACTGGAAGGAGATGGCGTAAATAATAGTGCCTATAATATATCATATTTTTCTTTACATTTCGTTTTTTGGCGCCTCGTTATTCATTCTGTCAATGAGCGAAATATTTTATGCGAAATAAATGATAATATAGCGATATAATGGAGTAACTAAGAACTCGATATAAGAGTATAATATTGTGTAGGAAACTAGAAATGAGAATGCAATAACCACCTTGTAATATAATAAGATATGGGCCTGAAGTACCAATAAATTATTATTATTATATTTTATGTGACGTATTTTACGCTTAATTGCGTGATTTACATTCTACACATGCTTTCATAAGAGTTTTATAAAAGGAAGGTACAGAAAATTGATAGAAATTTGACAGAAAATTTTGTTAAAAATTAAGCAAATATCTGATGTCTTATGCGAAATATGACTTTTAAAATTTTGTGAAAGAGATCTGATATATGATTGACAAGATATATAATTAACCACTACGTTAATTGATATTGGGTCGTAACACAAATAAGTTCGGTCGAATAAAGAGATATATTGAGTTTGATCGGACTCGCAATTTAAAAAATTATATTTTGTAATGCAAAAAAGACCAATAAATTCCAATAAAATTCACGCCATAAACACAGAGAAAGATGGACGTAGGTTGTGACGTTGCGTTAAATTCATCTTGCAGAAAGGGTCGACGGGTGTGTTAACGTTGACCGAAGAGGAAAAGCGGACATTGATCGCGGAGGGATATCCAGTGCCTACGAAACTGCCTCTGACGAAACAAGAAGAGAAGTCCCTGAAGAAAGTCCGTAGGAAAATTAAGAACAAGGTGAATGTCGAATATTTGTTAGAAAATAATTAGGCCGCGAATGTTTATGCAAGTTGATATTTTTAGCGACACAAAGTATTTTACCTTTTAAATATTACAACGAGTAAATTTTATTTTTAATCTTCTGTGTATTTTCGAATATTACGCGTGTTCTTTTTACTTGTATATCCCATAAACCTGCAAACATCCGCGATCTGGAAATAATTATACCGCGTTCGTGCTGCTTTTTCAATGAAATTATCTATAACTGCCTAGTATAAAATTTGTTTCTTAATCTTTGATTCTAGACAGGTTCTGTTCTCTGCTTGCATTTTAATTTTATTTTCGATTTCGATGGATGATAAATCGTGTGTCGCAATTAATTAACATTTGAGAACAAACTTGCCTAAATCTGACGACGATAATTACGTAAAAGCAAACACTTTGTCGCTAGTCATTTTTTTGCGATATAGCTTTTTTCGTTTATAAATCAACGGCTGAAGAAAACACTTAACTCTTCAAATATACACCGAAATAACCAAACTTAATCAAACAAATCCATCTTTTTCGAAATTTTAAACTGTTTACGCTATTTCAATTTCTCATGCTTAATATTCTAATATTCTTGTGCCGTGTGAATGAATTAATTTAATTTTTAATATCATCTTAAAATTTTAATATCATTTACTTGGTTTTCGATATTTCCTATCTATATCAATTTTTAACGTGCCCTACTTATATAATACGTTATTTTTAATAATGTTCATTTTCTATTAATTTAACGTTGTCTACGTATTTAATATTTTATATCTAAATCGTAATTGTTTCTTATATGAAACTATTCTTTTTAATTCCCTTTTTATCTATACAGTACAACGAGCAACACATTGTCTTTAATTTCAACAAAATTTATACGAAAATATCTTCCCATTGGACACAGAATGGAACAAAGGAAAAATGCATTGGTTTCCAGAAATTTGACGTAGCTATTCGTTACAGACATCGGAATATAATTTTCTCATAATGCAAACTGTTTCCTTGAATCTTGGCAGGAATTCCTTGGTAGGAATTTTCGCGGAACAGCGAGTCAGTCGATAGCGCAACCAACGCTCAACGAAGAGCAAAACTCGACGCATGATCGGCTATTTCGTGTTTCAGATATCAGCCCAGGAGTCGCGACGGAAGAAAAAGGAGTACATGGACGGTCTAGAAAGACGCGTGACGATGCTCACGAACGAGAACTCCTCCTACCGGGACCGACTAACAGCCTTAGAAGACACGAATCGCGAACTACTGAAAGAGCTTCAACGTCTCCAAGCCCTTCTTCAACTACAAAACTCGTAGGCGCAACGTTTCGAAATCACGTTGAACGTTAAACTACAAACCGACGATTTGACTTATTATCAAGAAGACATTATAATCGCGGTCATAATGGTCGGAAAGGCGATTTCGCGAAGACTGGTGGCCAGATAAAGGGCCTTAGAACGTGTTCCTGATCGTCGAATCACAAGTGTTTTATTTTTATCTTCTATGTAGTTTCCTTCGATCCTTGGACAATTTGTAATTTTCTTCGATTATAAAAGGGAGAGAAGAAAACTTACGTTTCCTCGATGGATATCTTTCAACGAATGATCCATCGAGTTTTTACGGGATCAAACGTTCTTGCGGACTATTTCCCAAACAGACCATTTTCCAAGGGAACAGTGCAATTTCCTTTACATTCCTGTGTAAAGTCTTCCTCGTGTAGCGGATCGAGCGTCAGTCGAGTAGAACGATTCGCGATGAAAATATATTCCTTGGATACGCCTCGTCTTCCTGTTTTCCGTGGACAGGAGTCGGCGGAGGGTGCAATTCTGCCGGGAGTGCCTTGATTCGCTTATCTTTCTTCCATCGCGAACGACGAATCGAAAACGAATTTTATTCTCCTTTCTCTTCTATCAAAAGTGTTTCGTTACGTTTCTGTTATTGTATCGCACCTAATGAATCGAATTCATCGAATTGTAACATATTGCGTAGAAAGCATGTGGAGAAAGGCCGATCGCTATACGATCTAAATGTGTAATACATCGAGAGCTTGAAATTCGAGTCAAAAATCGTAAAGTTCACGCTCTAAAGTCACTATAGAGAAGTTATTCTACGTGTAAAAATGAATCGGGAAAGCAAGAATAAAGGTTTTTCGTTAGAATCTTCGTTGTTGAGAAAATCGTATTTGAAAATTGAAGCGAGATATACGTGCGTTTAGTTGACTCTCGACAGGGCACGTGTCTATCGACGATTTTTTAGAAAACGAGACTTTAAAGGAAGAATATTATTTTACATTTTCGACTTATTTTTACACGCAGACCCCAACCTTCAGAGCAATGATACCATCTTCTTTCAATTTAGAGTGAACTGAACATACACATATCCGACCTATTTTCAAACTCGATTATCTCGAAGATGAAATGTTAAATAAAAAAGATTTATTCTTTATTTTTAATTTAGTTTTGCTTATACAATAACCTTCTGCCACCTATTTTGGAACATTCGGTACATATAACGTTCGTTTCACACTTTATCTCGGAAAGTTGACTGTAGCAGAAGCGGTGTCTAATTTACCTCGGAAATTGAAATCAAAATGTAAAGAATAAATTTCTCAAAATTGATCGTATTTCAGTTTCCTTAAAGAAGAATACATTTCTAAAGGATAGCGACTCGTATAACTTATTCCACAAAGTTCGATAAAGCGTACGGAGAGAGTTTTGATTCAAACGAAATTTCAACAAACGTTCAAAAGACGCGCGAAATTTAATTAAACGACAAGGATTAACCCTCCAAAGGCAGACGTATATTATATTTTTCCACACTCCGTGGTTACGCTGGGTCATTTCCATCCAAGATAAATATCCTTAGTATTCTGGACTTTCAAAAACGTAAAAAATGCCTAGGATACTTATCGATGTCTTCGTTGTATAATAAAGTCATTTATCAAGTCAAATATTTAAAATTTCTATCGATAAAAATCAAAATTTCGCTTGGATGAGTAACGACCCAGTTTAATTACGAAGAGTTAAACTCGTAGGGAGACATTTAGCGATAGATAAGCGTTCGCGCAGACTATTAAAGTATTTAGAAGCGTAAGTGCATTTTCAATCGAGTGTCGATTGATATTTGTGTTCGCTTAACAGCGATGATGACTCTTCGATTTTCGTCCAAATAATATAATAAAATTAGGAAACGAATATAGAGAACGAAGAATAGTTAAAATATAATATTAAGACGACATACAATTAAAATTGACGATAAATGTCCAACGTGTTAACTATATAAATTATATGGATAATGAGTGATTATAATTAATGTGGTATTTTATCTAGAATGAATACGAGATGATCGTGTACGTCTATTTTCTTCAGAGAAAATTTGTTAGATTGATATATATATATATATATTTAGGAATTTATTTATAGATTAGGATCCATTCACGCGAGATATAGATTTGTATATTATATTTGTAAAAGAAGACGTTTATTTAACCATCTGTACGTTGTTGAGATGGTTCGCACCATTGTGGTTTTAAGAAGAACGTGTGCAATGATGTTGACTTTGATTATTTCTTCAAAGAACGCGCCACAGTATATAGATGTAATTTTTTCGTAGTTCTGTTATACCATGATACTATATTGCGTGCGGTGTGATTCGTAGTACGATAATGGAAGATAATTTTTCGCATTGCAAACAGTTGAGAAACTACAGCGAAAAATGGAAAATGAAATTCGAATCTTTTCCTCTAGAAACAGATATTTTTCGAGAAGAATTGTATTTTAGACGTAATAAGCAGGGTTTTTCTCTTTCCTGTTTTTTGAACTCCTTCGAGATTCTTAAAATTCTCGCGTTCTTTATCGAAAAAGTTTAATTCAAGAAAAAATAAGAAAGTAAAAACAGAGAATAGTCGAAGAATGTTTTCTGCGAAAAAAATATTTTCTGTGTAAGAAGTGTTTCTATAAAAAGACAAACACTCGGTATCGAAAATATAACTTCTCGACAAAAATAAATTTCTCGAGAGATTTGCAATTTAGGAGATAACAATGGTTTACAAATACACGCACAAAGAATCGTATAAAACTTAATTCTTCGAAAAATATCTAAGAAATCTAATCTTCGATTTTAACAAAAAGTCGGTAATCCGTTAACTTTATAACGAATCACGCCCCACTTTGCATATTCTATGCTCGCACTGATCACATGTATCGTCGAATTTCAAAAGCGACAAATTTTCATTGTCCAATGGGTACAAATATCACCGATAATGTTCACGATCGTGTGAATTAGAGTTAAAGGAAGGGTCGACGAATGGTTCTAAGAGAAAACTTGTCTCGAACACGAGCGCTGCCATTGATTACTATAACGATCTTCGAAAATACGATACTTTCGTCACGCGAAGTCTTGCTGATACAGTTAAGCACGAGAAGAAGAAATTCTCCAAACGATTGCATCTTCTTGAATTTTAAAATACATAGGAATTTTATTAACGCATCAAGTGCCATGATAGTTAAAAATATTATTATATCACAAAATTATGTGAAAACTATAACAGAACTTTGATTATCGGAACATCTAGATGGAACATTCTGCTTTTCTTCAAATTTTGCTGTAATATCTCTGCGAAGTTTTCCAACCATCTAACATATCGCACTGTGTTATGTGACGTGCATAACGCACGTAAAAGTCAGCGTGTGTATTATCGATAAGAAGTAAAAGAAGAAACGAATGTCGGAGTATGTTTTTGAAAAAAAAAAACGATTTTATTTGAAGTGGAGGACCGCTTGAGAAATTCTGGGAAATGATAGAACGGTTCTTGTCTGTTTTACTTGGCTATTTAAAGCTCGAAGCCGAACGAGCTTCGGCGTCTGGAACATCTATTTTTATGCAGAATTCGCTGGGTCATTTAAACAATAACAAATGTGTTAGGCTCAGATTACGGCTCTACAATTTGGAAGCTCTATCTTTTATTTCAAACAGGTTGTCCGAAAGATTGATTATGAGATAGATTGAATAAACTATTTGGTAACTTATCGTAACGCGATAATTGTTATCACGTGTCGAGGTAAACTCGAAGGATTTATTTTATTAAATATTCTTTTGCCAAAAGTCATATTTCTCTGTGATAATAACAATCGACATTCTGTTTTTCTTTTTAATTCAGAATTTTTATATTCTATATAGAGTACCTTTAACGATACAATTAATTTAAATACACGTTAGCTTTTTGTATAAAGAATTAATCGCAAACTTTTAAACAAGTTACCAAATTTTTCAATCCGTCTCGACAAAGAAAATATCTCTGCCATAAGTCTGCTAATTTAATCGCAAGAAAAATAGGGTTTCAAAAATCACTGTTTTATTTAAAAAAATTAAAGGAGAATAAAAATCAGAAAGGGACGATCTTTCCTATTTGCGGAAAACCTGATTAATCGATCAAAGGGTAGGATAAATTTTAACTGACATGGCATCAAACGTGTTAATAAATATCAAAAATGGTCGAAGAACGTTTAACAGAATAATTCAAGGCTTCGGTATATGGAATTTCGATGGCGCGTCTCCGATTTCTTCATCGAACACATTTTCGATCACGATCGAGGCTCCTCGCGCGATTTTGCGATCTCATCGTTCGCGATCACGTGTCGCGGAAAATTTTCCTAATGGCTTAGATCCAGGCTTCCAACCAATCGAAGTTCGCGAGAACTTCGATCAACTTGACTAGCCGTCATAAGCCCACGGAACAGGGAATTTTAAACACGATCCATATTTTAAGCGGATATTGAAAGCCGAGATCTAGGGAAGCTGCCAATTTCCAATTTTTCAAATCCTAAACATTGAAATTTGCAAATTTTCATCTTTTCGAAACTTTGAACGTCTCGATTTCTCTCAACTTTATTCCTCTACTTCCGAAACTTCGAGTTTCTCGAATCTACGAAAATTTAATCGACGATAAATTTATTTGCAACTTAGGCTCCCGGAATAATAAGTGATATAGTTGTTGAACAACAACGAAGATCCGTGAAAAAAGTTATCGGATTAACGTGATCTCTATTGGAACTCGAGAAAACTATCGTAGCAAAGATACGCGTAAAACTCACAAGAGATTGAAAAAGAAATTAATGAGTTTACCAAACAGTGTCACGTGTGTTTATAGTACGCTAGGAGAAAAAAAAATACGAGAAAGACACGCACACTCGTGTGTTACGTACTCACGGTAAAAAAAAGCGGCAAGACGTGTAAAAAAGGCAGGCTAACTCGGCGTCTATCAATTACTTACGCCTGACTGAGCATATCCGCAAACGTGAATCCTATTGACTTTAAAGATCGATGTGCCTCTAACGTTCTTAAAGGGGATACTGTTTTTCGCGCTTTCAGTTGTTGACCCTATCGATGGTACGAGATTGTGGCGTGACACCTGTACTTATGGGGTAATATCGATGCATTAAAGATTAAAGCTGAGAGTTGGATACCTATGGGCGTTTGTTACATTAAGTAGCGGGTGTTGGTCGCGATGGTCTCGCAAATAGGAAGAACGTAGATGAATTTTCCAATGGAAAGTATCTCCGGTTTAGATGATATTACAGCGGAACTTTGTTTATTCGAACGAAATTTTAACTGCCCGATGAATTGAAGTTTTGCTGGTTGAATTTGTTTATCTGGACACGAGCTGCTATTACGCGAAAGAGAAACGATAGGCAGCAAGGACAGTTGGCGAACTCCTATTATACGAACTCTAATTATAATAAACTGTTTGTTCCGTTACAAGTTCAGATAAATGTAGTTCCAGTACGTAGTTAGAGATACGTTAATTTGGTATTTGAAAGAAATTTAAAAGTTGGGAAATTTGTTCAATTATTCGGAACTGTGTACATCCGAATGACCAAATTTTGGAATTCTCAAGTTTCCGTAACTTTGCATCTCCGAATTCTTAGACTTGCAAATTTGTTGATTTTCGAATTGCGCGTTGAAACTCTCAAATTTTGGATATCTAAACTCTCCTTCGACATTTTTTACAGTTTCATATTTTCAAGCTTTTCAATTATCTAAAATTCTTCAAATTTCAAGCTTTCAAATCCTAAAATCTCTAGATCTCTAGCTCATCGAATCCCACGCGCTCAAATTTCAAAGCATCTAGTTGTGAGTTTCTAAATTCCCAGTGTTCCCTAATTTCACAATCTCCAAGATTCTGTGAGTCGTTCCGTTTTCAAAAATTTTCTAAATTCTCTTTGCCCAACTTCTACGCCACTCGCATTCTCCTCGAATATCTTCGCGCTCTTCGATCCGTGCGTTTCTAGGTTGTTTCAAAGTCGATCAAATGTCTATGTAAATTAATAAATCTCGAGATATGTGAAGAATTACTTGTTACAATCCCTGTTAATCCTATTCGCGAGAAACAGACGCAATTTATACGTCGGTGTTATCCAATGATTCGCGGAAACCGTAATTCCTGCTATACAATTACACGAGTACGTACGTAAATTCGCTGGAGGAAGCCTCGTATCGTTAGATAAGAATCATAGCCTGTCGCGCAGGGAATCGTGTATAATTTCTTGTACAAAATGCCAATTGAACGCAGTTTTATCCAGAAGGAATGAGAGAAAGAGACGAACAGAGAGAGAGAGAATGAGAGAGAAAGAATTTAATATATTCTATAAACGAAGCTTTATATAAATGGTTATATATATACATATATATATATATAAAAATATACATATATATACATAAGATATTTCTATATAAACAGATAATATATGTATACACTAAAGAAAACGTACACAAACACATTTACGAATCTACGAAATAGACGACGAGGGAACGATTGTCATACCATAGACTGTGGATATTTATGGAATTTCATATTTTTATCACTCGAACGATCAAGAAATGGATGAAGAAATCTGTAAACAGAGATTCGTACCACGAAACTAGATATTATAATTTTATCGTGGACATCTCGTATATTTTTGCACGTTGTATGCATTTTAAGAGTTGCTATTCTTCCAAATTTCTCGCATTTCATACTTTTAAATATAAATGCCTAAAGATCCGCAGGCTGATCACACGCAAACAGACACGTACACGCAAATAACTTTCGCTCGATTTCATTATCGCGAATCGACGATCGATTACCGATTCGTAAAATACATTCGCAGCATCTGTGTGCCCTGCACCAAATATATGATGTATCGCGTGCATTATATTATTTATCCGCAGAGACCAACTGTGTATATCTCGGTATACGTGTCCTCGTGTTAGCTGTGCAACGACTTATCCTATTATCCCGACGAGTAAATGTCTTTACGCGATTATGGTGTGCCGCTGCCACGTGGACGCCGGTGCACGTGGTCGTTCGTCTAACTTCGAACGTTGTATGACAAATGAATAAACACATGTGACTTAACTTTTTTCTTTTCCACCTTTGAATTCTTAGCCACTCGTCCAATTTCGCGTCTGGCGTGGTTCAATTTCCTGGCAAAATATAAGAACCGTCGACCATACAGTATCATACTATCTCTTGCATTTTTCAAATTTTAAACGACATATAACTCGATGAATTTGAATTATTTTCACTTGAAAATAACGACGAATATCGTTAAGATATATAGAACGCGTATGCGTGCCATCGGCTGATATCCACAAGGTCTTGTGGTTCTTTTTAATGAAAATCCCCAAGCGAACTAAAGGAACGTTTGTATAGAAATTCACAAATTATAATAAATATAATAAAATAATCGAATATATATTATATTAACGCACATGATAAAAAGAGACGAAGAATTATATATGCTACATCGAGTCAACAATCGACTGGCTTCTCAAGATTATTTTCTTCCCTTTAAACGAACATCGTGTCGAAGAAAGTTTGTCCTTGATTTCCCAAATTTCGTTACGTCACTTTTAGAGTTGATCTTCCTAAACTATTTTTATATTCTTCTCCAGATAATTTACAATTTTGTTACGACTATGTAAATCGATATAACGAGCTGGAACAATAGTTCGTAGACGGTATTCCCAGTAGTCGGTGCCTTAGAGTTAAATACATTTGTTCGTAGATTATTGAGCGTCCTAGTTCATTGGGATGTTTCCTGCTCAGTCTCCTTGGGATTAACTTAGAACATAAGTTGTTTACTAGTGGGTTTAGGTGGTCTTCTAATCCCTTCTTAATCTTCCTACACAAATTCCTTAGTACTTGTAATACATGGCGCGATAGATGGAATGATAGTAAACGAAAATAACCTTCACCAGCTAATTGATTTTGCACGTACGTGGAATAATAGATTTCATATGACGTCACTGTTCGCATTGGCAATCTTATCGGGTTTACTCTTCTGTTAGGTTTCACAGGATCATCGAGCGTTTTTATCAAAATATCGAGTAACCCATAATTCGAAATTCGATTAAAGCGAACTACCAAAGAAATACTTTTGCTCGTTTAATTCTCCTCGCAATTCTAAGTGGAAAAATTACGTATTTTACTTTATATGCCGACTTAATTATGTCGTCGAAATAAGACCATTCGCGCATCACATTTCACAGCCCAATCTGATAGGCCTGCACAATTGAATGGACCGTTCATTCGCGTTTTAATTAAGATTCTGGTAATGAATTATCGACCTCCACCTCCTGATAACATTATTTCGATCTCTTTTCATTTCCTGGACGTCCTTCGAATTTTAGAAACGAACAAATTTTTACGTCGTTGAATTCTCTGGCCCGATTAATCTAAAAGGCGTTGCGCAGTCTTTCGATAATTTTTCATTCGGTTGTGGCGAATTTTTTATCGTTAAAAAATATTTCAATTTTTTATTTCTCAAAAAAAATTAAACGATGTAAATGATTAAATGTACGAAATAACGTACGTTCACAACGGTTATAACATTTATTGAAAAAGAATGATTATACAGCGAATCGTTTCTTATATTACAACGTAATACAAGCTGCTTTATATTTAAATTTAAATAACATAACCTTACGCCGTGAAATTCTGTAATTTCTGCCAAAAGAGAAAAGCAAGAGAATTTTTATCGTTTTATTGATCGGTGTCAAGATCCGCTTCTTCAATTTGATCATCCACTTTACGCTTAAGAGTCGATAAACTGAGGGGAGCTTCCATATTTAAGACCTCCTCATCCTCCTTGCGCCCTTTTCTTCTCGACCTGTACAGAGGATTTTCGAATCTTCCACCGGAAGACGGATCGTTTCCCTCCGCTTCGTTATCTTCGAGATTTGGTTCGTTGGCGATGTTGGCAATTTGAACGTTACTCTCTGCACTATTTTCGAATCGAGCAAAACCGAATGGTTTGCTACCCTGCGTTTTGTCCGCTCGAATTCCATCCCTTATCGAAGAGAAGATCTCCGAGAAGCCTAGCAGGAAACTGCAAATAATAACGAGACGTCTGATTAAAATTCTGGATACTTAAATGCGTCTGGTGACTTATGTCAGATGCACCAAAAAGTACATTTTAAAACTACTTTCATTAATTTACTTGCATTTAAAACAAAAAGTTTGAAGTTTCAAACATCTATCTTAGATAATTGAATTTGGAAATATTTCCTGTTAATCTCAAAGAATAGTGAAAACTATTTTCGTCGGAAGAACATGTTATGCCTTAGAATATTTTGAAATCTACTTAGAGAACATAGAATTTTTCATTACAAATGAGAGAAAAGGTACCGGTAATATAAAACATTATTATAATATTTTCAGCACTTCGGGTCATTAAATCCTCTTTAAACGTTCTCTTTTAAAGCTACAAATTTACGATATTTTTACTTATAAACAGCGCTACTCATTGACCAAACAGAGTTAATTAAATTACAGAAATTTCTAGTTCCTAATTTCTAGTTTCTAAGCATATAAGGAAAGAATATTCCATTTTTATTCTTCCTTTTCTCCTTTCGTTCGTTACTTTACGAATTTATGTTTTCTTTTCACTTCCCCGTTTCTTCAAACAATTTGAAACTTCATTTTATAAATTGCCTGATTGAGCGGACAAATATTTAATAGCAGTAGCGTTCCTGTAGTCGCGGAATACGAGTTTGCATTCGTAGTTGGAGAAATTAATAACGCGATAAAGCTTAGACTTCTCCGTTTCTTCCTTTTCTCGACCTTTCGCTTTCCACATCTTCTTCTGCTTCTCCTTTTTCTTCGATTGCTTCACGAATCTGCTTCTCATTATTCGTTATATTCTTTCTTTCTTATAATTATATTTACACAAGTCATCATTTACACTCTATCGCTTATTTTCTTTGACCTTTGCATCTCCTGGAGATATCCTTCCTTTTCTCCCTTATTAATCTTCTCTTGGAAATATTATTTTCTGCTTCTCTTCTACGATTCGTTTTTCCTTCGGTGATTGAAAATGTTATTTCACAAACTGTTTGATTAGGTGTCTACATTCGCTTTGTACACGTGTATTACCAGCGTACTGCTTTCCAATGATTCGATCGACAGCAAAGAGAACTTTTTAAGTTACACACGTTCCAATATGCAGTTCGGTTTACCGTACGTAAACACTGATACCATTGCTGCAATTCGAAGCAACCAGTGCTGTTTCCCTGGTGATTTGGTTATTCAAAATCACCGAGATCGATACTCGAATTTCTGCTACTCGAACGGAATTCATAACAGATATTTGTAATAAAATGAACGAATGTTTACGATGGGTAAACTAATCGTCGTTTTTAATAACTTTGTAAGCGGACTTCTCGCATAGCCGAATATAAATGCAAAGATCAAATTGGTTGGTTTCCCAATACGTTAGACGAAATATCTTTCGCTGAATTTGATCGATACTTGCAAATTCTTCGATGTTCAAACTTTCGAATTTACAAATTTCCAAACCTCTCGATCTTCAAATTTATTCGGTTCGCGTCAGATTTTTCAATGTTATTTCGATCGATTCGCCAAAACGTTCTCACGATTAAACGTTTCAAGAGACATATAAATGTTTCAAAAACATTTGGTTCGGTCTCGTTTAAAAGTATGCCGAAGGGAGGTTAATTTCGAAAACATCCGGTTTAACGGGGCTGCGAGCGAAGGAGAAACGCAGTCAGTTGAAAACTGCGCCTCGTGTTTCATATTCCGTGTAATTACTTTTTCCATCGCGTTTCTCTTCTTTTTCTCCCTTTGCTCCTCTCTTTTCCCGTGTTGTCTCTGCCTCTCAACGATCCTCGTCATCGACACCCACGTGTCGCTGGAATATAAGGGTCAAACGGGACGAGCTTATAGAAAGCTTCATCGCCGTTTTCCCAACGAGTCGCGCGTAATCGTTGAGCTGCTCGCTTCCGTTTGTCGTTCGCGAAAACATGCATCGGCCAGCTATTTTCGACGATTTATTAATTCCGCCTTCTCCTTTCTTTTTCCCCTTTTCCTTCGACCTTCTCTCTTTCATTCATTTGCTTGCTTAATTGGCAGCGTAGAACGCGAAGTTAGCTTTGCACGTGGAATCTTTTGAAAACGCGAAAATATGAAAATTCAAAGGGTCGTGTTTTCGTAGTTTCAGCAGCTATTTCACAGTTTGCGGGGACATTAACAGGTGTACGAAAGCAGAGATGCGAAGGTACGACGATCGGTGAATCCACAGATTCGAAAATTCACACGTTCGAAGTTTGAAAATTTGAGAATCCGAAGGTTTACAGGTTTGAATCGCGAGAACTTTGAAGGCGAAAATTCGTAAATTCGCAAATTTTAACGTTAACGCATATTTGCAAACCTGTGAATCCCAAAGTTGTAAAATTTGCAAATTAGAACGTGGCAAATTTGAAAGTCTCGCGACTTTGAAGTTTTGAAACTGACAGTTTACAAATTTGAATTTGAACAATAAATGAATCGTTTTTACGTTAAAATATGTAAAGCGCTTTTATGGTAAATTTAGAAGCAGGAGGGATTATCATATTTCTGTTGCTCTCTGTATCGTCTCGCTGTAGCTCATAAATTTCTTAAACCATTTTTATCCGAAGTTAATCCTGCGGGAGACTTTAGAATTCTCAGAAGGTACAAAAAGGATAAAAGACTGTATATCGTGACGTTATAGTGCCTCGTAATGAGAAAAAGAGTTAGAAGAAAGGATATTATCTCCCTAGGTTGATCATTAATTAATTATACTAAGTACTTACTGTCTGTAAGAGTAGCCAAAGTATAAAAAGAAGAGGAACAGAAGAAGAAGGACGATCATTGGCATTCCCAAAAACGGAACCAACGTAATAGCCATACGATTATCTTGCACGGCAGCGCCAGTTACTTCTGCAGAGAAAACTTCGATTTTCATACCTATTAAAAAAAGAAAAGCACGATAAAATAAGGAAGATTTAAAACTGTCGTGGTTCTCCATTTTTACGTTTCAATGTTGTAATGGAAATTCTTGTTGCAAGAAGCAAACAAATTTTTCATGTTTTAAGAAATACTCTGACGTATAAACAACGAGTGTCGTTCCATATTTTTCTCAAATTTAAAAAATCCGTGAGAGAAGAAAAATACGATCGAATCGAAGACGATGCAAAGGTCAGGAAGCAGAGTTAATGAGATTTTTTGCAATTAGAGTACTCCATTTTTAAGATAAGTCGTAATCAATTTCAGGATTTTTAGCTCATTGGGAAATATTCTTCTTCCGCTTAATTTCGAAGAATGATTTAATATTTCGCGATAATAATTTACCATTTCATATTAGACTCTGTTTGTATAAAAACCGAGCAATAAGTTAATTCGTCTTATTTATTGTAAATCGAATTCTTCGATACGAAGATGGTAGACGTTGAAACTAAGGAAGCTTTGAAAGTCACTTTTTAATCGCTTGTTGATTGAGAAAATATTCTGTTAAAAAGTTTCACGGAATTTTCCCACTTTCTTTGATAAAATATAAAGTTTACCTTGTCTAGAAGAAGAATAACTTTCGTTAATCTAGAATGAATGAAAACTGAAATTAATGCTGTTGGAAAGTTTCCTTTTAACGACTCGCTGATTGAAGAATATTTTATACTATTATAACTTTCTTGCGACAGTCGCCAATTTAAGTTAGTAGTTTTACTTAATTTCAAGTAGATAAAACGTAAAGTATTTAAGCGTATTAAAAGTAATAAGTAAAATAATATTTTCTTGTGAAAAGAAGATAAGAAATAATGGGAATGTTAAACATGCAAAGTGTTTCGAGGGGAAATGTCTTGAAAGAGTGATGGTTGCGTCGTCGATGAAGCCAGAATAGTCGATCAGGTTAATTGTTTTCTATGTAGTGGAAAATACAGTAACTGATATTATCAGGCCGTGTCTCGTTGAAGAACCGTACGATTATTCATGGAATCCGTAGAAACCATTTTCAAAGAAATAAATAATTTATATCCTTTTTTTTTTTTATTAACGTGGAGGAAATCCGCACGGACACCAGGTCGCTTCTGGGGAAAAGCGGCGTAGTAGTGCCGGAAAATAATTTATTTCCTGCATCGCGTCTAACTATTCCTCTGCATATTTTTATATAAATAGAGAACATCCGATGTCAATTTTTAATATGGCGAAATGTTTAAAAAGGGACTTGTTTCGTTCAAAGTACACGTTACGACGATTAAAACGAGAGAAAATAATCTAAAAAAATGGCCACAGCTGCACAAATTTATATTGAGATAATACTTTTAATTCCAATATTCTTCGATATTCGATAACATTAATTTTTATATTTTTAATTCTATTTCTAATATACGTGGGCATATACAGGGTGTCGCAGACAATTGAAATTCGATACAGGATAAAGGAAAGTGATAATCGATAAGTGATAAGATAACGATAACGACAGAAAGCAAATCGTGACATTGTCCATGTTTAATAATACAAACACGAGCAGGAAGAAAAGTTTCATAATTCGAAACTTCCACGTAACACACGGCTATTTGCTCGCGAGTGTTTAATTAAACTTGTTCGTTCCTTTCGAAAACGTAGCCTTAAATATAAAAACGTTATTCTTCTTTTTCCACTTATTTTTCCACGTAGAATCACTAGCCGGCCGATTGTACGATTATTTTCAGGACGGTCCGTATATTTTTAATTCTTATTTCTACGGAATTAAATTAAACGATAAAAAGAATTAACAGTACGTTCGATTCACATCCTCGATGCGAAGTATCGCGCTTTTCAAGTTTGACTTATTTCCCCTTGCGAATATTCCTACGAGAATAGATATCGATGACGCGTTAAATTAAAGAAAAATGGTTAGTTACGTACATATTTGGAGATAACGAAGTAACGAGAAGAATAGAAAATGAAAAGATTAAACCAGAGAAACGTAACGTATGGAATTTACTTTGCAACGCTCTTTTTGCGTCTTCTGTAGCTTCCAAGATATCGATTTCCGAATAGTCGAGCTTCTTCTTTATCAAAACCTCGATAGCTCCGTTCCAGGTAGGTCTTACGTGCCAAGCGAGCTTTTCAGCGTATCTTTCTAAAGCCTCGTCTGTTAATACTTGAACCATTGATAGAGGTACTTTGTTTGTTAAAGACAGTCGTCCGCCACAGTATCGACAGCAGTGACCTTCCACCTACACTCGAACGTTATTTCAAAAATAAATTTCAAGAATTTATTACGTCTATGAGAATTTGCGTAAAGGATAATAATTGTTGGTCGAATTTACCCATATGGGATATTCGCAAGGCGTGAATCCACACTTTGGTCTTTCAATAGCACAAATTTCTTCCAGATAGTAGCCATTTGGATCGTCTTGGCAGGGACACTCCTTGCAACTGTAGCCCACGTATCTGTAGAATTTTATCTCGCATCATCTTTGAATATCGTAGGTTTGTAAAAGTCGCGACTGTTTAATTCAATGCGGCGTTTCGAAAGTTAAATAAACATTTGGGTGAATACACGAAGTGTCTCTGAAGTTTTGAACGAAGTTTGAACTTGCAAGGTTTATGAATTTAAAAGTTCAAAGATTTCAAAGTCTGGAAGCTCGAATATTTAGATGCTCGGGTTATTTGAAAATTCCAAGATTCGCAGATTTGAAAGCTGAAAGACTGGAAAGTTAAAAAATTGACAAACTCGGAGGTTGGAAGGTTTCGCAATTTAAGAACGTCGAAATTTGGTAGCTTGAAAATTGGAAAGTTTGGAAATTCGAACATTTGAAAAATTGTAAATCCTGTAATTTGCAAATTTTTTACTCCGAAACATGGTAAATTTTTCATGAAAAGCTTGTTCAGCGAGACGCACTTTACTGTGAATATTCCTTTCTCGAACTCTCTACTGTGAACCATGTCTGCCCATTGCCACGCTCTATAGGGTTGCTTTTCGTCCATCATTCTCACCGATTTCACTTCGATATTCTTCATCGGTAAAAGTACGCTGAAGGTTTGATTCTTTCTGGGAAGTACTATGTTATCTTGGCGACATGGTACTTGCTCGAGATGCGGCGCTGCTATTGAACTTCCGCCCCAATTTTGAGGGTCCGCCCAGAATAGGTGACCCGACCTTGACCACTGGCTGATTTTCTTTGCTGATTTTCCTGCTTCACTCAACTATTATAATTGATCGATTAATTGGCTAATAAACTGATTAAGCATGATAATTGTTACCTAGAAAGAAATTTTGTAACGAAAATAAAAGGACGATCTTAAAAAATGGCAATTTACGGATCTGATTGAGAACGAAAAATTTGTCAAGAATATTAATATCATCTGTCAAGCAACGAGAAACGTTATTTTATCGGAAATTTAAGAAAAACGAGTGTAATGATGAAAAAGCGGCAGCCAAACCTACCCCTGTGTTGCGCTTAATCTTCATTTTCTTCAAATTCTGATCCAACTACAGAATAATTATTCATCCATGTCGACATATTAATAATTCTTCGGAAATTCTGCTGATGATGAATTACCATCGGATTGTTGCTACGATAATTGCTACGCGAAAGCAATAGCCAACAGCGATCTTGTAGTACTTCGGATTTGCTAGATTTCAAACTTTAATTGATTCACCAGCAGGATTTCCGAGGAATTATTTCGTAGGCGGGTCGGTATCTGAAGAAGATGAAGATTAAGCTAAGGCATGGGTAAGTTTGATCGCTGCCACTTTTTCATCACCGTTTTTTCCATCGTCCTTTTTTAATTTTCCTCGAGAGATGCACTTAGATGTCTTGCGAGACTTTCTCGTTCGCAACGAAGTTAAAAAATGGCTATCTTAATAATTTCGTAATTAAAATTTTGAAGAAAAAGGTTAACAATTTCATAAACTTGGTAATTTAAATCTCGCACTCCCAGTTTCCATTTCATTTTTACTGATCTTGAGTTTACCGAAGCAACTGGCGAAGCATCGTACTCGTTTTATTTCCACCATTCTGCGATATTGCTCGTTAAATCTTGCTTTCAAAAGCAGAAGAATTAGATTTACGATCGATAGGACAAAGAGGATATATTAATATATTAATACACAGCTGTGGAACTTTAGAAGTTTTAACGTTCAAGTACGTCCGAGTATAAAAGAAAAAACTTAACGAGTAAACGCACGTTAGATTGAGTGTTATGAAACAGGGATAACAGTAAATGAAATTACTTACTTTCTTTTGTTCATATTATGTTGGACATAAACATACGTGAAATACTATAAATAATAAGAACAACAACAACAACAAGATTGTTATTGTTATTGTTATTGTTATTGTTATTGTTA